TCAGCAGTGTAGTTTATCTCGGCGGGCAGGAGCTGACGGGAGTAGAAGGCTATCGGACAATCACCTGAGCGAGACTCGATAGTGCCGTCCTCGGCCATAGTAGGAGAATAGTCAATAGAAGGCTCGTCAGTAGCTGGACGAGTAGGCGTCAGTCGGGAAGCAGTGGTAGGGGTAGGTGGTGGGAAGTGAGGGATACGAGGATGAGAGGAATCAGGAGATGAGGGGAAGACTTGAGAAAGCACTGCTCCTACAGCGAAGTCTGACGCATCGGTGGTAAGGATAAAAGGGCGGTCAAAATCGGGTAGGTGAAGAACCAGTGCGCATGTCACCACCTTCTTGAGGGCGAGGAAGGCGTCCTCGTGGAGGGGTGTCCAAGCCCAGGGTGGGTTCTTCCGGAGGAGGGTGGAGGTAAGGACGTAGGAATACCTAGCGTATCCCCGGATGAAGTTACTGTAGTAGCTGGTCAGGCCTAGGAAGCTGCGAAGCTGCTTGGCGGATGTGGGAGCGGACCACTCCACAATAGCAGTGATCTTCGCGTCGTCAATGTGGAGACCCTGGTCAGACACGTAGTGTCCTAAGAAATCCACTTTGTGCTGGGCAAAGCGGCACTTGCTTAGCTTGGCGTAGAAGCCATGTCTGCGCAAGCGGTCAAGGACATCGCGGAGGTGTCTGAGGTGCTCCTCAAGGGTACGACTATAGACCAGGATATCGTCGAGGTAGATCAGAACGAACTGCTCCAAGATGTCCCTGAAGATGTCGTTCATCGCCCTCTGGAAGGTAGCGGGTGCGGTTGTGAGGCCGAATGGCATCACCATGAACTCGTAGTGGTCGAATCGCGATCGGAACGCGGTCTTCGGCTGGTCGGCTGCGGCGACACGGATCTGATGGTAACCGCTACGAAGATCAATCTTCGTAAAGAAGCGGTTGCCTGCTAGGCGGTCGAACAGCTCATCGGAACGAGGCATGGGGTAGCTGTTCTTAACCGTGTAGTAGTTAAGGCCGCGGTAGTCGATGCAGAGACGAAGAGTTCCATCCGCTTTGCGAGCAAAGAGGACGGGTGCACCCCATGGGGAGTTGCTGGGTTTAATTAAACCCAGTCTCAGGAACTCCTCAAGCAGACACGTGAGTTTGGTAGCCTCGGGGATCGAGAGTCTGTGGGGTGCCTGGTGGTGAACACGATAGTCAGGCACGAGTGAATGAAGTGCTCGACGTCACGTATCGGTGGGATGCCGGCGTATGAGAACAACGATGGAAAAACGTCGTGGTCCTCTCGGATGAGGTCACGAACTGCGGGCTCCAAGTCAGCCGTATATCGTGCGAGTTCCTCAGCGTCAGCGTCAGCGCGCGACGGCGGGGTGGACTCGATGGACGGCGGAGGGACGGAAGCAGAGATGTGAGCCATGAAGATAGAGGGAGGATCTGGCTCCAGAGGGATGAGCTCGGCTTCGGGACAGGGAGGATCGGGGCGTGATGTCGCCGTGGTACCTATGAAAGGTACGCGATACGTTTGTCCACACTTCGTTTTGAGAACGAGAGTGTTGGTCGCCCAATCGGCCTCGGTGCTGCGGAACCGACGAGACCACGGAGTGCCGAGAATGAAGTCGTATCCCGTCTCCATCACATCGAAATGTGCAGAGGAGCGGAGGCGACGAGATGCCGGGGAACGCTCAGTCGGCTCGAGAGTGAGGAAGAAGGGGAGGTCGGTGACTGTTTGATCGAAGAAGCGCAGGATCTTGTCATCCCCTAGGGTAACGAAGATGGGAGTCGGAGACCCTGTCGTGGGTAAGCGGGCTTCCTTCACCACGCGTGGGTGAATGAAGTCGCCCTGAGAACCGGAATCCCACAGCGCTGAGTACACCCTCGTGGAGGTCCCGAGTCGTACGAGGATGATCGGGAGGGTGCGATCAGGGTCAGAGAGGATGGCGAGAAGGCGACGCAGTGCAGCGAAATGGAGGGTGAGTCGCTCCTGACAAGCCTAGAACATGCTCAAGTCCAGAAGAGAGGACACAACGTCCTCGCGAGTAGCAAGCTACTCGCTGCAACGGGCTGAGCGAATGGCTCGACGCGTCGGTAGTCGCGGCGGGGAAGGAGGGGAGACGGTGGTCTGCGGAGGCGCAGACGGTACTGCGACAGAGGGCGGAGTACACTCTGTCGAGTCCTGCGATACCTCAACTCCAGTAGCGAGAGGGGCGAACCGCGACGGAGAT